AAATATCAGTAAATTTAGGAATAAATCTGACTACAAAAACTGATAAGACTTAGCATATGCCTTTCCATAATAGCTTACATACTATATATTGTGAGTATCTTTTGAATATTTCAGATACGTTATATTTTAAACCACTTCATGCTTGTGTCACTTTTGAGCTAAGATTTTTTGCCACTAGGGATGTGCAAGCCATTCTGTATACAGATCAGGCAGCCTCTGCACAGATCAAAGTATGCTTTGCCCTTGAAGGGATCCAGAACATGCATGTTTGGCCTGGTTGCAGACCTGGAATGTCTATGCTGTAACAGAGGTATTTTGGGGTGGGGGGAAAGGAAAGCTAGCTATGGAGAGATGGGGAGGAGGAGAGGAAAGACAGGTAAGTTATACCAGCATTGGCCTATTTGCCCCTTTAGCCTCTTTTGGCTTTCCTTGACTGAAACTTATTTCAACCCATTTCACTTAAGTTAGACTGTGTTCTTTCTGGAATGGTCCAGGTAAACTTCAAGGCACAGCATATTTGCTTTGTGCATAGAACAAAACACATTTTTTGCTCTGTACACGCTATTTGCTGCTATGTTTACCTACTTAGCAAAATTACACTGAACTACACTGTTGGCTTTCATTTATATGTTTGCACATTTTTAATAAACTTTCCAGATGTGATCCATAGTGTGATGATTAGAATTTACTGATAAATCAGGACTAATTACAGAATGTTCTTAGTGTCTACTGTACTAATACTTAGAAACAAGACTGGCTGCTAACCCTGAATTTGAGTATTTTCCTTCTGAAGCTGCTTAATTATAAGGCTGTGCAGCTCTTTGGATTCAAAGGCAAAAAGAGATTTTGGAGCATGCAAGGGTGCCCTTGTAATATCTATTTGCAACTTGTTGAAACAGCTGAGTCTTCTATCATGATCATGCAGTTGCTTTGCATTCTTGGGAAGTTATGCATTTGATTTAAGGAGTTGCTGACATATACTAACATGCACATCCTTGTATGATCCAAAGTACCCTTTTGCTTTTGAATTGAAATTACTACATATCTCTTTAAAAGGGGGGGGGGTGTTTTAACCTATTGGCAAATAACCCCTCTCCTTGCATAAAGCACAGTTCAGAAATACTGCACGGACAAAGGTAGACCAATTTCCTTTCCATCTATCCTTTTTTCTATTTTATCTGTCATCAATCAATCAAAATGTATTTACAGTCCAAGGCCAAACACAAGAAAAAGACCAGCAATACAATAAGTATAAAAAGGATTTTTTAAACTTGTAAGAAAATCTGTAGTCTTCATTATATTGCAGATTGATTTGATAGACTTGATTTGCTCAAATTTAGGCATTTGTTTCTCTTTGCAAGAGAAATGAAGGATGTTATTTAAACTGAAGTATTGCTGTGATTCATGAACAGCATGTTCTGTACCTTCACACCAGGTAGGGAAGTAGAGTACTCTTCCAACACAAGCCCCATTGCACTAAAAAATGGCAATAATACATGAAATACCAAGTACAGTATCTATCAGAAAGGAAGTTGGCTCTGAATTTAAAATAACACTTTCTTTCCCACCTTGAAGATGAGCAAGAAATAAGGTTATTCTGATTGCTGTATCTCTGTCCTGTCAGCTAGAATTACCAAATCACATTTCACCCCCCTCCCCCTAAAAAAGAATGTGTATGTAGCATAAAAGGGCAGGGCAAGGACAAAAAAGTTTAAAAGTGATAGAATTAATGACTGCTAATTAAAATAGCCTGTAAAATAAGGTACCTCCTTTATAAAATTAAACCTCCATTTGCATACTTATACAAAATCTCCTCTTGCACACATATACATGTGAGTACACATACTAACGTAAGAGAAAAAGACTGCAGAAATACATAAATTTACATGCCCTTACTCTGAACTAAGTTGAGTTCAGTGGCTCTTATGCTGAGATAAGTTTGCTTAGCCAGACTCATCCTCTGCATGTGACAGGATGACTGGGGGGGGG